ACATTCAAACCAGTGAGCATTGATTGGTTCTACAACCACCCGTATGGAGTTCTAACGAAGTTTGTGACAGTGCATGACAAACGAAGGGGTCACCATGATCACGTGCGTTTGCAAGCACAAGTGAATCTAGTTCCCCGAGGGGAACATCGACCTCCTCTCATGATCAATTCGTATGGAAATATTCACATAATGCCCTCACATCGCGCTCTTCTCCCCCGATGGCCGTAGGAGCGCGCCCGAGGACCCACATGGTGGCCTGATGGTCTAGTAGTATGATTCCTTGTTAGGGTTGTCGTTCATCTACGATGGTTATTCGAGGAGGTCCCGGGTTCAATTCCCGGTCAGGCCCTTAACGCTGTAAGTTGTGCCTTTTTTGTATTACCTTGCTCTTATCTGCTTATCCGCATCGTTGAATATGATCATATCAATGCGTGCCCGCCGGCCTCCGTTTGCGAGCCGTCTCCTCCGAACAGTCGTTGTAATTTTTAGTTCTTGAGCTCCTTAGCAGTCTGCACTTGTGGCGACTTCCTTGGCCTCACAGATTACGGCTGTATAAAACTTGTCAATGATTCAGTAATATACATAAAAACACAATTGTCGCGGAATACCACAATATAAAATCTCGTAGGATAGGGCAGAAATACTCATACCAGAGGGAACTGTGAGAGGGAGCGCATAGGGACTGCAAGTCACACATAACAAATCGAGGAACCCATGGGTATCCACTGCTCGAATTCTCGTTGAAAGCGAGTTCCCTCAAGATAATCAGAATCAAATTTGTCAGATGGACAACTCGTCCAGAGGTCTACCCCAGGCGCCATAGAACGTCCCAGTATACAAGGGTCCTCAAGCACGACATGGAAGCGACGGAAGTACCTGACATCAGTTTCTTCCGAATCAGTTAATGATGCAAAGGGATCCACGTCTCCTGCACTCAGGGACACGCGAAATATCGTAGCACATGTCGGACTGTACCAAAGCAAAGTGAGATGAAATGACATATACTTGCGGAATGCGCAGCCCTTACCAGGTAATTTCGTCGCGCAGCGAACTCGAAGCGTTGACGACTACGCACTGACAAGAGCAAGAAGGACAGCATTGGACCTCGGCCTTCGTATCCAACCTTCGAATGAGGATGTTCATGGCGATCGTATGTCCGGGACGTATACAAGCGCGCCAGAATTCATTGTCGATCAGCCGTGACCCCTTGTCAACTGCGGTTAGTGCGTATTGGCCGCGCTCGACATATCTGCGGCCTCTGCGCTTCCTGAATAGAAATTTTAGGAGGTCTGCGAAGTCCTGCGTCATCAGAAAGAGCTATGAAGCATTGTGTTCATGAAATAAAGTAAATTAACCTACATTGAGAGTAGAACAGAGATCGAACGGGAGGTGTACTACGTCATTCATTGCATCAATCAGACGGATAGGCTCTGAGTGATCCCAAGTATACCCCAGCCGACGAGGAGTTTGTTCTGAGAAAATCTTTATGCTTAAGTGCATCATTGTCGTAAGCTGACAATTTAACTTTTAAGGGATCGATCAGATAATTAAGAATGCTGTTCTCACTGTAAAATTGACTTTCAGGCCATCAAACTGTTTACGGTATTGTTCTATGGTCTCTTGGATCGTGGCAGATGTGAGGTACCGTCTCCATGACTGGCTGTCTCGGGCAAGATCATTGACGCGGGACAACAATATAAGGAGCGAACTGAGAAGAAAATCGTCACGATGATTCGGATATTCATCTCGTGGAATACAAACTCGATGAAGGCTTGGGATTGCGTCGCGAACAACGGGGGTGGTTGATGATCCTGGTAATATTGTCGGAGCATGTCCCTCATCATAGTGATGATCTGGACAAGGTCATGTGCAAGCTCCTGGAAATCATCTTGATTCTTATGGACGCACTGTAGAACACGCCATGCCACATGTCAGAATCCAATCGACAAGATATTTGTTGCAGCCATGATATCTAACCTGGATAGCCTGCAATACCTGCAGCACAAGGTTTGCTGCAAGCGCAGCATATGGGAAAGCAACGGCACACGTGTCGCGCACAGCTGTAGTCGCTGTAATGAAGCCATCCAGCCAAGTTATATCGCTGATGACTGCTTTGGCAGATGATCGCGAGACCGCAAGCCACGGCGTTGAGCGACGAAGTTTCAGGGTGATTGGCATTCTCCGAGACTGAAGCAAAAAGAGAGACAGGTCTCTCGCATTTCGGCGAATGCCCCGAGAAGTTATAGGCTTGATCCTACCACTGTGGCCTAAGTGGGGTGGGAGCTCTCACGAGGAAACTTGCTGTAATGATTGTGATCTATACTGCAGTGTGCGCGCGACTGCGCATACTTAGATTTAGACAAAGAGTATGGATGAACCTTGTGACTCGTACCAAAAAAACTACGTCATTTTCGACAAAACAGTTAAGATCATTCTTTTACCAAAGGAAGGAAACTGCAAGGCTTCAAAGTAACGAGCGAGGGTGATTTCAGTTTAGATACCGTGGTCTCTTGCATTTTCGGCCAATGCCTCGGAAAGATACAGGTTCTGGCATTGGGTCCCAAGGATGCTGTCGTAACCGACAGTCAAGGCCGTTACAGTAAACTTGCTGTAATTGTTTGGAAAAAATAGCGATGGACACAGCAATAGCCCCGTGCGTAAATGAATATAGGTAAAACATGAGCTTTTCGTAGATGGCCTGCGCTAAAGAAAATGGCCTTGCCCGACAAGAAGGCGCAGAGCGTCATAGAAATATCTATCACGAGGCTTCAGGGAAATATCAATTTGGCATTCAGAACGACACGAATCATCCGCATTTCGGCCGAATATCTCGCAAAGACACACGTTCTGTCATTCAATATCGAAGACGACAGTCAAGAATGTCTTAAGAGGAGATTTGCTGTAGTTGTTGTGTACCAGAAGTCATGACTGTCAACAATTGGTATCGTCCGACTTCTTCACGATGACATGAGAGCCCATAACCGGGCGCACCTGTGCCCGATTGATCATAGACCATCATCCTTTTCTTTCTAGGATCCAAGCCAAAAAAGGACACGACCTTGCCCGACAGGACGACTATTATATCCAGCGGATCTGTGACAAGAAGTCATAGCAGGGCTTCGAGGTTGTAAGCAAAGGGATACAGTAAATGGACTGTTGGAAGAGGGGACAGGACAATCATCACCAGTCTTTCACATTCCGGCGAACGCCTCGGAAAAATGCACGTTCTGTCACTGGTCCCAGAGATGCGGTTCTAGCCGGCCGTCAAGGACACTTGACTTACGAAACTTGCTGTGGTCATCATGCACACGATTAGAAGTGCAGATAATTTGTGGAAAATGCTCGAGACCCATCATGGGATATATGGCGCGGAAGATAGCCATAATCCGTGGACATAATCCGTGAACATAGACAAAAATACTGTGTAATTCGCATGACAGAAATCACGACCTTGCATTACGATATGACTCAGGTCATCGATATATCTCTGTGTAGATATCTATCAAGAAGTCTCACCAGGACTTCAGAGAAACGCCAATGTATCAATCAACGGCTACCATCCCAGCCAACGCACTCGCTTCCGCTTCCTCATCTTCTTCGTCACCCTCCTCAGCGAGTGTTTCTATGAAGCTCTGCTCCAACGCCTCAAGATAATAACCTGTCTTCCACATGTCTTTAATTTTAAAGTTGGCGTGATCAAAAGCCAAAGCCACAATGGGGCGGAAGTCACCGCTTCGCGGACGCTGGAGAGAAGAAGGAGGCATTCTAGGATAGCGAGCAGAGAAGTGTGTGAGAAGGATGTGCTCTGCTCGCATACGCCTCCCGATATCGAGGGCCTGCCCAAATGTACTATGTGCCTTTTTTGCTGCCAGTTGCTCCTGGTCGTCAGCCATGGTTGCCTCGTGGACCAGGAGCGTCGCGTCTTGGCCCGCGTAGACTAACGAGTTTGTTGGCTCAGTGTCGCCGGAGAAGCTGGGGGCAGGTTAGAAGCTTGAGCTCGGCTAACGGACATGCTACTACGTACACGATACTCCAGCCGTCTTTGTGCCTGATGACAACACCGTAGCAGCGCGTTCTATGACGAACATCGACAGTGTTGATGCTCTCGAGTCCTAGAGCTTCACGCAAAGTAGCCGCGTTCTCGAGCGATCTGTGTCGTCCAGGTGTTAGTGAATTTGATTAGTATGATCGCGTAGTATCCTACAGATTGATATCGGTCCAGGGCTCGGAACCACCAACCTGCCAATGCCCGTTGGTCTGATATACGCCCGTATTCTTCCAATGAATTGATTCGGTAATAACAGGAATGACACCATTCCCTGACGGGTCGTCGAGACCCAGATCCTGGATCTCAGAGACCTCGCGAATGTACAAATGTACCGAACGTATGGAGAGCAGGAAAAGTGGCGTCGATGCGGGCGGATCAAGCTGCAAAGACACATAAGAAGTTTTCATTAGCCGATAAGAAAAGAGGGAAAGGAAGAATCAACATTCCTGCCGCCGTCTTGCCAGGATCTCAGCCAATCCCATGTGATGGTCCCCGTGTATATGACTGACGTAGATGCACTTGAGATTACGCAACAGATCCCATACGTTATTTTCAGTTCCATCGTCAGTACCAAACTGGCGTGCGAGCTGTCCCCAAGTTCCTTCACCTGCATCCAGAAGAATATTTCCCCAGTTGGGTATCTGAACGAGGGTAGAGGATACTAAAAGAATTTGAGTATTGATCAAGTCAGAAATGGAACAGATGCGACAAACCATTACGATACTTGGTTGGAAGAGCGCTTCCGGTACCCAGAGGTATTACCTTGACATTAGACCCTAATGGTACACGCAACTTTCCGCTCGAAATATGCGCTTCAACATTCATTTTCGCCTTTGCAAACAGCCTCGACGTCTTTGGCGAAAGAGCAATAGGTCTGTCGGAAGTGACAGTTTTGTGGAAGGAATCATTAAGTTCTCGAACTGTCGGCGGGTCCGAATTACGCATATTGACCTCTAGGCCGGCAGATAAGATAGTTGAGTTTTGAGGAATATTAGGGATCGCTGGATACATCAAGATATTATTTGAGATCGCAAACAAGGCAAGAGAGGTCGAACGTACAATTAAGGTCACGTTTTGGTGAGAGCGAATAATGAGGTATCGGGAATAATTCAGAGTCTAATTGATTCATACGAAGTTGACTGAATGCTGCGCTTGTGAACGTTACAGGGTCGGGAGAGTGCTCGCGTGAGGAAATTACATGCTAATGATCAGTGTCAAAGAGTTGTTGAAAGTCAAGGCAGAACCGCTCCTACATGTGTATTAGGTGAGAATCCATTCATGAATTCAATATACCTTGAATC